GCCGACGTCTTAGGATAACAGATAAAGTTGTTTCAACCCCATGGAGACATATGGTTTCCGAGGACAGGGTGTCATGATTAAGCCTACCTTGGAAACAGGCAGTCACTGTTGGCCCCTGGTGGCTAATCCCTCTGGAGGTGCCTAAGTCCCGCTCTTGCTGCCCTGCTGTGGGGACAGGACCAGTGGGAGGAAGGCACCCCACTCACGGGAAATAAGCAACATGTATGTTGCAAACAACACTCAGAATAGAAGAGAAGCAAATGGAAACACCTTCCAAACCATGATTTGTACTATTCTCACATTAGTTCAACCTAATTTTAAAATAGTCTCTATTTGGAGAATGTGCAGTAATTTTACTACTAGAATATGAGGGCGATTTGCTTTTAACTTCTACCATGTCAAAGTCTGTAGGCAGAGAGCTTTGCATAAAACTCTATGTCTTTAGTTTTTTTTTTTTAGAGACAGGGTCTCACTCTGTTGCCTAGGTTGGAGTACAGTGGTGCAAGCATAGCTCAGTGCAACATCAAACCCCCGGACTCAAGCGATCCTCCTGCCTCAGCCTCCAGAGTAACTAGGACTACAGAGGTGAGTGCCGCCACACTCAGCTCATTTTTAAATTCTTCGTAGAGATGGGGCCTTGCTGTGTTGCCCAGGCTGGTCTCAAACTCCGGGCTTCAAGTGATCCTCCTGCCTCAGCCTCCCTAAGTGCTGACATTACAGGCATGAGCCACTACACCTGGCTATTTCTTTACTCTAGAGAACTAAACGCTTGGGTAGCATTTGACTCACTGCTCGTAATCTGTCCCCTAGTCACCCTTCCTCCACTCCCTGTCACCATTATAAAAAATCACCATACTGCCAGTTCTCACCCCATTATAGTTTTAAAGGATGCTCTGCCATGACCACCACTCCGCTCTGACTGCATCAGTGGCCCTTGATGTGTGAGTCCTAACAGCTTGCGTTGTTAAACAGGCAGAAGAGTTACAGTCCCTTTCCGGACACAAAATTTCTCTCCTTCTGCTGCATTTAATTCTACCGAAGTTTTAGCTAGTACACTAGGACTGTTTCTATCACCAACATAAATGCATCATTCTCAAGTAGAGACTTTTAAAACAATCATTCAAGGAGGGGTGGGGGACATTCCCTCATGTGCCGCAGCCTAACCAGGTCCTGGGAGGCTGGTCCTGCACTCCCTATAGGGGAAGCCGGCTGTCTGGTACCCGAACTCCTCTGCTCCTGGCTGCCTGTGGGCATCCCGTCTCTCCGGGCCGGGATCCTGTCTTTGCAATTGGAGACGGTTAAAACACATGTATACATTTATAAAAAAAATTCAGTAGAAGATTTTTTTCCCGCAAATATGATTTCACAATAAAGCATGAATCTGTTTTATCGCTCTCACAATGGAACAGGACGCGGAGTAAACAAGAAAGCGGAAGCTTTTCCTCCACCGCCAGGGACCATCTTCAAGACACATGGAGTGAAGAAGGCCGACGTGGAGCAGGTGCATCCTACGCCATCCCTTGTTTTAAAAACGGAGAAAAGAATGCAAATAGACGCATCCATTTCCTTGTGGGTGCATAAAATAACCCCGGAAGGAAGCAGGAAACATTTAATTGCCTTGCGTTCCTGTGAGGAGGGGAACGGGGTGTCTGGGGGGCCATGGGTAGGGGGAGACCTTGCCGTATCTGCATGAATTTTTAAAATTTTGAACCACAAGAATATATTGTCTATTCAAATAATTAAATAAAAAATTCCAAAATGTATTTTGTAAGCTGAAATTGAGGACAATGTGACTATTTTAAAGAATGTGGGACTACAGATGGCCGCCCTATCAACCCTGGTATCTATTTTATTTCTATGTGTTCTTTTGTTGTGAGTCTTCAGAAAAATTCTGACTTACAGTGATAAGTATTTGTAAACAGTTTTCAAAGACAGATTACCTTAAACTCTTGCTTATTTTAAAAATTATTTTAAATTGTAATAACGGCTAGCATGTATGTGCCCATGTGAGGCGCACTGGATTTCAACCCATCGGAGCCACTGTCCTGGTCATTTACTGGAATCTGATATACATTTGAGCATGCATGTTGACTGTTATTACATTTTAAACATATTAGTTACGCCTTTCAAAATCATTTAATTGCTTGGCGGAACCCCCAGAGCACCTCTGTCAACAACCAAACACCACACACCAGTTGTTCTCTGAGGTGGCATTTGGGAAATGGAGGAAAATGAAAGCAGCTCCCAGGCCCAGGTCCTGTGGGGGCAGGAGCTTATCTGGAGGAGACTCCAAGGGGCCCATGAGTGCTCTTGTTTCTCTCTGCAGGGCAGAGCCAGCGGTCTTTCAGCAGACACCTGGTTTGCTCCCGAGGGGAAGTCAGGTTTGCTGTCTGAGACGAAAACGCTGCTGTGCGTGTGGGTGGCTCGGCCCATGGCCATGTCACTTGCTGGTACCTGAACGTGGGTGTCTGCAGGCTTAGCTCCCGTGGAGGGCTGGAAGGGTGGAGGAAGGCATTGCTCCCGGGGAGGCCATGTGCCACACGGTTGGCAGACCAGCCGCTGAGCCAGTCTGACCCCAGCTGACACCTGGCCTCCCTGTCCACTCCGTGCGGAGTTGCAGGAGCTCCCTGGGCCTCTCTACACCTAGCTTTCTTCATCTGTAAAAACCAGAAAACACGAGGCACTCCTCTGCTTCACTGTTAAGATTCAACAAATTAATATGAATCGATCCCTTCATACTCTCCCTGGTACATAGAAAACACTTGGTACAAGCGAGTTATTCCTATTACAGAGATAAAATAGAATTACCCTGATGCCCCCAGGCAAGGGACCAAGCAGCTGTGACCTGCCACATTTACAGCCCTGAAATGCCGCTTTCGGTCCTGTCTCTGAATCCTCACTACCAGTCAGTGCCACGAAGCAGTGTGATGTTCAAGACTAATGTCAGCAGTGGAGCGTGTTTCGGTCAAAGCCCCCAGAGGAAAAAAAAAAAAAATCAGATATCACACCAACTGGGTCAACCCAGAGGGCTTAATTAAAGGATCGTTTGCAAAATAGTAGAGTGGCTGGAGGGTCAGTGGCCCGGCCAGCAAGGCACAATGTAATGCCTTGGGGGTGGTCCTGGCTCCCAGTGCCAAAGAGCTGCACAGGGACAGTCACAGGACCGGAAGGGGCTGCAGGGGTGGGGAGGGTGAGTCGCAGGACCGGAAGGGGCTGCAGGGGTGGGGAGGGTGAGTCGCAGGACCGGAAGGGGCTGCAGGGGTGGGGAGGTGCACCCTGACAGGGGCTGTGGGCAGAAAGGCCTCAGCCCAACACTTCTCTTCTCACCCTTGTCCTGTGGTGTCTGTCTCGCACTAGCAGAACTGCCCAGAGGCCAGAGGCTTGGAAGCAGTCCCTAACAGTCAGCCTCCTGGCTTCCTTGCCTCCTGGCCTCCCAGCCTCTGCAGCACAGGGCAGCGAGGAGGGTGGGTTTGCATGGGAAATGGCGCTCCCCGTCCTCGAAGGGAAGTCCCACAGACTGGGGTCTCCTGCCTCAGCCTCCCAAGTAGCTGGGATTACAGGAATGTCCTGGAAGGCAGTCATGGCGGGAACAGGTTCTCACACTGCCCTCCTGGGCTCCTGCCTTCCCCTGACCTGGGAGAATTCTTCCAAATCAAGCCTGCGCAGAGCAGACAAGCCTCTGACATGAAGTGGCAAGGCAGTTCCGACCCAGCGTTTCCGTCCCGGATGCTGTCAGGAAGTGCTGGTGCTTTCCCCTGTCACTCTTTTTCCAATTTTTTTTTTTTTTTTTGCTTTTGTTTTTATTTTTGCAGGGAGGTTGAGCTATTTGAGAAAGGTAAGGCTGGAGAGTGCTAACCCAGGAGTGGGCAGTGAGGTGTGGCTATAGTCCATCGCTGCGGGGCAGCCGGGGTTTGGGCGCACTGTTTAGGAGCACCAGGGAGGGGGCCCAACTGCCTACCAGCGCACTTCTTCTCTGTGGGGTCGGTTTCTTGGGGTTGACCGTGTTGGGCTTGCTCTTATTAGAGCAACCGCTGGTGGATGGTGTTCCTCATTCTATGAATAATATTGTTTTATAATCTTTATTATGCAACAAAACAAGGAGGCCTTCTCAGCAAGCGTGGTGATGAACAAGGCCTCCCCCCTAGGCTAATGCTCAAATAATACTGACGTGCCACGGAGTAGGAGTGGCGTGGTGGGGTGGGGGACAAGCTCCCTCAGCTTTCTTTTCCTCATCTGGGAACAGCTGGTTAGAAAGGCCTCCTACAACCTGCAGAAAAGGACATTCCCCAGGGGCTGGCCACCCACCACAGCCAGTAAAAAGCTTTCCATGGTGTTGTCACCGAGCAGGCTAAATATTTCCACCTTCCTTAGAGATGCTAAGTCAAGGTGTCTGAATACCCACAAAGCAATTCTGGGTTCAACACGATGGCACACCACCACGATCTTCCTTAGCAGCGACACATGCGGCCAGGTGCCAAACACCGCCATTCCTGCTGGCCGAAGGCGACAACAGGAGACTTTACTGCTCTTGATAACACCTGTCCTCCTGCTGGCCAAAGGCAGCGACAGGAGACTTCGCTGCTCTTAATAATACCTTTCCCTCTTCCTCTGGTCTTTGCGCTTCTCTACCTTCCCTGTCTTTCTCGTCTCTTTCCATCAGTGGAGACGCCGTCTCCCGGGACACTGAGCAACCTGACCCGATGACTTCGAGGCAGTAACTACGCGGGTGGTGGCGTGAGCTCACAGGCTTGCAGAACGCTCGCGCTAGGCAGGCCATTTCCTTTGACTTGCCGAAAGGATCAGTATCATATTTGAAAAAAGGTAGGAGAGCATGTAATCATTTGTAAAATTTAACAGACACCTTCTCCTGTAAAATTAATTTAAACTAATGACAGAGAGAAACAACTCCTGTTTTATCCTGGTGGAAAAAAATGAAAATGTCCAAGCTCATCAGTTCTCCTTCTAAAACTCAGCTCTACTCATGCCAGGCATCTGTCTTCATTCCGTTTCTTTTTTGGTTGACAAATTACACACACAGTGTGAAGATGGGCACAGAAACACCACGCTCTTTTCAACGGTCTCACGTGAGTACAGACTGGAGCCTCCTCAGGAAGGCTGGCCCGTGCTTCAGGCCTGCGTGGTCACACCGCATCACTACAGTTAAGAACTGGGTGACACAGAGCTGCATCACTGTAGTTAAGAGCTGGGTGATACATATTTTTGTACAGTTCTAAGGATCTCACTTTATTTCTTATCAGATTCTGTTGCTAAAGCAAACTAAGGTACTTTTAATAACATAACAACAAAAATTTGCTACCGAAAATGGGCAGTAGCTGCGTCTTTACGCATGTGCTTCTTTCTGGGAAAACCCGGCCCCACTGAGCTTGCACGGTCTTCTCTCCTTCTCCTGCATGGGCTTTCAGACAATCGAAGGGAAATTTACAAGTGGAACCGCCAGTGAACAGGCATGTGTATCGGTACCATGTGTTTGAAGAAACAATAGGCCAAGAGAAAGAGCCAAACCAACTGTAAAGCTCATTTCATTTCAGATTCCAGAGTTGCACTCCACTTTTTGGTGTAGTTTCTGGTTCTGTCATTGACCCAATTCCTAAATGGCTAAGCTGTGAGCTCCCTGGAGCAGGTCTATGTTCTCACCTTGCCCTGCATCTGTGGCAGTAAAAGCGTCCAATTAAAAAGTCTCAATGAATGAAAAAAGGAACCAGCTTCCTGAACAAGGGGATTGCTGCAGAATGAAATGCATTGCAAAGGCACAAAGTGCTCTGTTGAACAATTATATTATAAACCTCCATTTTAAAAATTCAAATATGAAGTAAGGCTTCTGACTCATATTTTTCTTTTCTTTATCTTTAATTACTTAGTTGATTTTTTGAGATGGAGTCTCACTCTGTCACCCAGGCTGGAGTGCAGTGGCACAATCTTGGCTCACTGCAACCTCTGCCTCCCAGTTCAGATGATTCTCCTGCCTTAGCCTCCCAAGTAGCTGGATTATAGGCATGCGCCACCATGCCCGGCTAATTTTTACATTTTTAGTAGAGACGGGGCTTCACCAGGTTGGCCAGCTGGTCAATGGGAGAGCAGGTTCCCGTCCAAGCAGTCAGACCCCGAGTGCACACTCTCGACCCCTGTCCAGCAGACCCACTCATCACAAGGCAGGGAGCCCCAGTGTTCCGTGTCAGCCAGAGGCTCTATGCATCTCAGAGTACCCAAACCGTGAAGGAATGAGGCAGCGTTCAGAGCAGATGTGGCTGGGCAGTAAGGCGGGGCTTCAGAATAGCTGGAAAGCTCAAGTCATGGGTCTTGAACTCCTGATCTCGTGTGATCCAACCACCTTGGCCTTTCAATGTGCTGGGATTACAGGCGTGAGCCACCGTGCCTGGCCATATTTTTTTCTTTTAATCAACACTTAGCCTTTCATTACCAAATATTTATGCTAAATGAAGATGAGGAGCCTCTTCATTGTCTGCTAAAATTGAGTGAGCTCCTGCCATGTGCCCGACTTTCTTGAGGTGCTGGAACTACAGCAAAAGCAAAGCCTTTGTTGCCCTGGAGTGGATGTTCTCACGGGGCCATGCACACAGGCAGTCAATAACCCAAGCAGGGGGAACGTGCCGTAGGGAAGATGATGCGGGTGAAGGGGGCTGCTGGCTGCAAAAGACGGAGGTGGGGAACTAAAATTGGGGCATCCTGTGGGCTTCGGGTGCGTTTTTGTGTTCTCTGGTTGGTCCTGAGTTGGAAGCAGGAACAGAACGTAGGAAGCTGTCAGTCATTCATCAAGTCCTGGCCGTGTAGGGCTGACTGTCACAGAAGTTATAGTTTAGCTTCCTGGGCTGTCACTAGAGATAAGAATCTGGCTTCCTGCAAGCCTGACACAGTCACTGGCCTCCCGAGCTGTGTATTGTAGATGAAGGGGCTGGCTGCAGCTGCGGGTCAGACTTCTGTTGGGCACCCGGCCTGGCCACCATCTGCTGTGTATCCACTCTCAGCCCCCAGAGCCCACGGAAGGAACCAGCCTTGCGGACACTGGACTCTAGCCCAGTGAGACCGATTGTGGAACTCTGACCTCCAGAGCTGGAAGACAATAAGCTCAGGTTGTTTTAAGCCACTAGATGGGTAATGTGTTGCGTCAACAATAGGAAACTAGCCCATGTTGAAAGACCGGGCAGAGGTTTGTGGTGGGAGAGTTGAGAACCAAGTTTTGGCTGGTGGGTGGGAGCCTGTGAGATGGGCTCGGGGACATGGCAGTGGGGCAGGAGACACACGCTACATCTTATTGCTGATGACCGTCTTCCGCCGCATGCCTGCTGGGAGGGGCTGAGCATACGAGAAACAAAACCATGAGCCAATCACATTAAGCCTTTCTCTTTTGGGGGGGAAAAAAAAAACATGCAGTTCACTGCCAGCACTCATTTAATTTTACATAAACACATTCATTGAGGCCGAAGCAAATATGACTGATTTTCAATGTGAAAATAAAATTTAAAAACTGTTACTGGAGTTATTTCTAAACAGAACTAATATCAGAATCATGTGACCCATCAGAATTGTCTATTTTGGAAAAATTGGATTCATCAAATGAATCTTTGGCCAACAACTGTTTGAGAACGAAGTTAACATCCCCTGTAGGAATGCTACGTTTTCTAGGATTTGACATTATCAACGATCGATGACGACTATATTCTGTAAATGGAAATGCCACTATACTAAAAACAGAATGCTATCAATAGAATGATGTCCTTTGTTTCCAAAGTCAGTATACTAGAGAGCGGTGCAAAAATAATAATAAAAGCGAGATATTTCGCGGCAAAGTTATCTCGGGGCAAACGCTGCCGCTGCAAGTGCCGCTGGTGAGTATTCCTGGGGAAAACGGGCAAAGGGTTAAATCGTCCACAAAGGCAGCTTCCCAATGTGTGTTTCGAGGAAATACAACTGCCCAACCAATTCCACTGAGGAGCTTCTTTGATTAGAGAATGCCTGTGCAGAGACACAGGCTGGACAGAGCTGCTGTTCTGGCAGGCGGTACCATCATTCTTCCGTCTTCTTTGAGTCTCTTCTGGTGGAAGAGAAATTTACGCCACCGTTTTCCTCAGTCATGCAAACTGTTACCAAAGCTACCCAGTCTGCCTCCTTGTCCATCTAAATGTTGCTTTCTTTCCTCTTTTCTATTTTATTTAACTGCTCCTAGTCCCAGCCTCTGTGCCTGTGAACGCTCCTTTGTGTTTCTGCTGTGGCTGTGAAAGCATCTACAGCCTCTGTCTGTAGTTCTCGAGATGGTTAATGTTGCTCCTCCACATAGCTCACCTCTCAACTGCTGTTTCTCTTTGCTTCAAATTTTCACATGATTTCTATAAAAAATGCATTTTGATCCCTAAAGACAGAACTGGCCTTGACCTCTCTCTTTCCAGGTTTGGCCACAGTGGTTTGACACAGCAGCACAGCCACCTCTCTTCCCCAGGAGGGGTGCAGCTAATGCCCCATGTGATACTGGGAAGCCCCATGGTGGAGCCATCCGCTGCTTTCTCAATGGCTTAGAATTCTTTGCAGGACCTGGCACTGGATCCTCTGGAGTCAGCTTGAACGCAAGCTCCCTGGAGTCCTCTCCTTCTCCAGCCCCGTGCAGCTCACTGCAGCGCCCAGCTTTAGGCCATGGGCTCTTTCAAGATGTAGCTTCTGCAACAAGCCCAGGCGCTGCCCTGAGGACGAGCGGGCTGTGATCCACAGGAGTCGGGGCTAGTGCTGCCAGTGACCTCGGAGCACAGACTGAAAACAAAGGTCTACATGAACGCAGACCATCCTGAACGCTGTGCGGAAGGAAGCTGGAGCCGCTGCCGGGTGCCGGGGCCCTGGCTAGGGGCCTCGCAGCTGAGTGCTGGAGGAACTAGGTGCGCTGTGCCCTCGGAGATGAAGCTGGAGGAAGCGGCCCGGCTGCCGCTCAGCGCTTACACAGCTGAACCGTGGCCCACTTGGTGGCAGCAGGACCTTCCACCGGGGTACACCCAGACTCGTGAGACCAGGAGACTCAGGTGCGATTTTACATAGAGCTCCGCTTGTACCTGGCACACCTTCCCCTTACAGCCTAGGGACCTTGGCTATTTATCAAACAATGGATTTTTCTTGCAGGTCTCCTGACTTGACTTCCCAGCTATTCTGAAGCCCAGCCTTACTGCCCAGCCCCATCTGCTCTGAACGCTGCCTCATTCCTTCGCGGTTTGGGTACTCTGAGAGGCATAGAGCATCTGGCTGAAACGGAACACTGGGGCTCCCCGCCTTATGAGGAGTGTGTCTGCTGGACGGGGTCAAGAGTGTGCACTCGGGGTCTGACTGCTTGGAAGGGAACCTGCTCTCCCACTGACCGGCTGTGACTTCTCGTATATGTGTTGAACCATTCTGAGTTTCTGTTCCCTTATGGGGATAATGAAAATAATTACACTGTGGGGTGCTGTGAGGATTAAGTGACTTCACACATACAGAGCACTTATAGCAGTGCTTGGCATATACTGAGTATGAAGTATTTACTCTCGTCATCCTGGTAACTCTCGTCACCATTCTATCTAACGCCTGCAGCTCCTGGTCTCAGAAACTTCAGTTCTCAGGCAGTTTCCTCTTCATATATGTACTGACGTTGGTGTTTTGCAAAAGAGGGTCAAGGTGGCAAAACCGACACTCGAGTGATGTAGTTTTATGCCTATTATGACATCTATAATAAATAAGAACTTGAGTCATTAGTAGAGATGGCCAAGAGCTCTCTCAAGGTACCTGTATTAAGCTATGAGACGGGGAGATACTAGTGACACAAGCTAACATTTCTGTAGTGAATTAGCTCTGATATGTGTAGATGGTTGACCCCTGAACATGGGGGTTAGAGGTACCGACCCCCTCAAGAAGTTGAAAATCCACATATAACTTTTGACTTCTCCAAAACCTAACTACTAATAGCCTACTGTTGACTTAAAGCTTTACTGATAACATAAACAGTCCATTATCACATATTTTGTACGTTATATGTATTATATACTGTATTCTTAATACAAATTCTGTAATAATATGATCTAGAGGAAAGAAAATGTTACTAAGCAAATCGTAAGGAAAATATGTTCAGTGTATGGTTCTGTATTTATGGATATAGTGAGTTTATGCCGTCTGTTCACAAGATGGATCGTCTGTCTGAAAAGCGGGGGGACTCACAGCTACAGACCTCAACCTGGGGTACGTATCATACAATTCAACTTATCTATTTATTTTTTTTGGTCATGTCATGACTTTTCTCTTCTTCTTGGGAGCACACACAGCGTCCCTAGTGGCATGGCACTTCTTAGGGGTTCTATGGTGTTACTCAAGGTTTATGGTACTGCACTAAACAGGGTGAAAAATACGTGAGAACCACAAGATACCATTTTTTATGGCTATTCCCAATTCCCTGGATACACAGACTGCTCACACGGAGATGATGAGTGTCACAGGACGTTTAAAGCGGATGCTTCCAACACCTGAGCTCACTACAGCAGCAATGGAAGGCCGCTGTGAAATTCTTACAGCAGTGCCGTAGTCACCACCGTTAATTTGATGCAGCTATGATTTAATGCTGAATCTACGTTTGTTTACATTGATCTCAACTGCAAATGGCACCATGTATGGTCTATGCTGGAGCACACAAATTTTGATAAATTTTAAGTTTTTATAATACATCTGTGTATATTTTATAGTAGAAAATGATAAAAATAGACTAGTATCTATGTATATTTTATGCATCCTGACATACCATTTTCTTAATGTTTTAAATATTTCTAGGCTATGTGGTTTGTCTGTGAGTTTCTTCAAATTGTAACAAATCTCCAAAAAATTTTCCAATATATTTACTGAAAGAAATCTGCATATGTGGATCCTCAAAATTCAACCTCGTGTTGTTCAAGGGCCAACTGTATATATTTACATATTCCTACATATTCCCCCACCAATATAATGCCAGGAATCTTTCCATTTATACAAATCAGCACTATCTAGAATATGTACCTAATTCCGTTAAGCAACAAAGACCTAAGAATAAAATAAAAACAAATAATTTCCTCTCTCAATTCTTATAAAGTGAACACAGCATCTTTGATGGAATAGGAATATTATTTTTCCTTTCAAATACACCTCTCCCCTCCCTTTTAATCCTCCTGGATCACGATTACCTCCAACACTTAATAGTTACTTCTATTTGAATCTTACTTTAAATGCAGGGTGCCCTAATGCGTGGACAGCTATGCAACCATCTGTCATGGTATTTTGAAGCCCCGGACAACTGCATCGCCCACCACTAGTCTCCCTGGATTGGTTATAAAAACAAAGGCGTACTTTAGTTTTACATCAGATTACTTAGCTATTTTGTCCCAATAAAATGGTTCGTAGTTATTAGAAAGTAGGGCACATCTGTTCATCTACAATGTGTCTGATAAAAGGAAGAGGAAGCGCTGAGGGAACATAATCGCTTTTCTCATTCAACCATCAGAGCACTGGCTGGGGGCACTGGCAGAATGCGCTGCATCAAGTCCAGCCTGAAACGATGCTGTGCGTGTGAGAAGGAAGAGGGTCAGTGTCCTCCCGCCCGAGGCCAGACTGCCCCAGTGAAGGATCTTGGACATTCTATTGTTGTTTGCCAAAGTCGAGAGGGAGGGAACAAGCCTGGGAATCCAGGTTGTCATTCAGCCCATGTTAATTGAGCCCCTGCTGTAAGCTGGGTACTGTGTTGGAGGTTGTGACAGCTCGAATCGGTACTAAAATTAGGACTAATTCGAGCTATCACTTCCCACCACCTTTAGCACAGTACCCAGCATACAGCAGGGACTCAAGTGAAAAATGCAGCTGAAAATAAATGCAAATCGAACAATCTTGTTGTTTGATTACTCGGGTAAACTGGTTTAAGTAGAACCTTAAATGTAGTTTACATGTTTCAGGGTAACTCTGGCAGCAAAATCAGAAACCTGCAAAAATGCAGAAGTAACTTAAAGCAAAATATAATGATATTCTAAGAATGTGAGCACTACTATGATTCCATATTCACTCTGAACCTCCGTACCTGACCTTCACAGAGGTGAAGAGATGGCCCCACTCTCCTCTTAGAAGGGCCTGCACTTTAAGTCGTGGCCCAGTCACAGTGGGGTGGGGGCTGCCCTGCAGCACGTGGGGAACACTGAGCTGTTGGGCAATCATCATCCTGTTGCTAAAGGACTCATCAGAAACTCAAGGAAGAAGAAAAACTCCATCCCCATCTCCAAAATATCAGCCTCCTGGCCTTTATCTACATGACACTTGCCCTTACCCACAAGGATGCTGAGGCTGGGTTTCTCAACCTTTCGTTGGGGCAGCAGGTTGTAGGGGCTGTCCTGTGCACTGCAGGATGATAACCAGCTTCCCTGACCCGTATTCACCAATGCCAGGAGCCCCTGCCCCAGCTGTAAAAACCAGAAAGTCCCCAGACATTGCCGGTGTCCCCTGGGGGCCACAGTCACCCCAAATGAATATGACTGCCCTGGGCAGAATCCATCAATTCTGGTCAATCTCCTCATTGTTTAGTAAAGATTGCTGCATTCCTCTTTCTGTCATTACTCGGTAGGGACATTTCTGGGTCATCCATGCCACTGAATGGGAGGATCCCCTGTCTGGCTCTGACAGGACTGCTTTTGAAGCAGACCCCGTTTTTATCCATGAGCCAGGGGTAGGTGGGCTTGTATATGGCTCAAGTGGCAACTGGGAGTGGTAAAGCTGGATTCTAGTGACAATCTCGGCTGGACATCTGCTGAACTGAGATCCAACTCACATATCAGACAACCAGCTGCCACATGCTTAGTTCTGGGTCATGTTAGAAGTCACTGAACTTGCTGTTTCTTAGTCCATCCATCAATAGGTGGGAATGATGCTTCTCATGAACCAGTCAGTGGATACAGACAAAGGCCGAAAGTATTTCAACTACATTCCACCTGGAAATGCTGAAAATAAAACCGCACAGTGCTCTGCACTGGTCAAAGCAGTTTTGGTAACAAGTAGGTCCATTCTAAATAACAAGCTCGTTGCACAGAAATGCCAACTTGTTCATCGTGGGAGGAAATCTAAACAACCATGTCTACCTACAGATAAATGAACTTATTGTCACCGCTCCCTTGGCCAGCTGCAACGTGCTTCTGAAATGGCTCTGGTCATAGGAGCCTTCTGGACCATGAGCCACATCTCTCTGAAAAGTTCGGGGCCCTTCATGGGGCTGCACCTTCCCGTGCTTGGTTAATTCATGCATCTTCCAGACCACACATTATGACCCACTGTAGTCTCAGAAGGGACAAGGGAAATCCCTGCCATGTCCGCTGGCCAAATTTGTCCAGGGAACTTCAAGGTTTGTGAAAGAGAAACAGGAAGACCAGGCTCTTTCTTCTACCATCGGCCAGAGTCACAGTGTCTGGCTTCTCGAGAGCTGTTGCTGAAATTCCACAGAGTTTGACCTCAACAAGATCTTTGAGGACTGAGGGACTGAATTACAAGCTGTGTAACAAAGCTGAATTCAGACAGCATCTATATAAGAGCTGGATATGGGAATATTAGGAGAAAACACACCATCGCCTCGTCACTGGGGGATTTACTTGCAGAGGCACAAAACGGGGGCTGATCTGCCTCACAGTAGCAGGCTGTTTCTAGAAGGGTACCGTGGCTGCTGGGCTGACCAACCCACAGGCTTGTTTCTTTGAGCTCACTGGGAAGCAGTGATTGTTTCTGGGATTGCTGTTACCCGATAAACAATCTAAAGAAATTCTGTGAGCAATGACCCAGACAGAAAAAAATTCCAAGGAGCCCATGTAGGCTTACAAAGCATATGTGAAATATGTTTCAAAATACAAGTAAAATTCTCTTGTCTAAGGCAGAATAGAGGTCTAGTCTTCACCACTGGAACATTAGGACACTGGAACAAGACCTGGACATGCAAATGGTAGGTGCCCATCTAAGTTCTTCTTTAAACAACACTCCTAATGAGATAGAGAGGCAGGACAAACCAGTCTCAGCAATCCAAATCCTAGAAACGCATGAAGCTTACATGCCCCAGGCTGCAGAGGCAACCACTTCATAACAAAACCTGTTTTTCTCCTGCTCTTCACACCACAGGCGGACATTCTACCATGACAGTAATGCTCACTGCAGTCTCCACCCAATTACAGTCCCAGGAACTGTAAATCATGATCTATTTCCTTCCTTTCACCTGTCCTGGATGTGTTCAAGACTCTGGGCAGACTAAACACAGAGATGCTATCGGAGCAAATCACAAATTGATTATTTCTCCATATTTAAACTTTCTTTTTTGTTTGAGAAATTCAAGATAAATTTGTCAATAATCCATAAATTCTTGACCCAAACAAAATCAAGGGAGCTGAGATATTTTTTCGGCTGGCGTCGTTTGTGACAGCAAAGCGTTTTCCCAGTGCAAGAAACACGGTCGGCATTCCCAGTGAATATGCTTGAGGATCCCAGGCCATGCTTGAGGATCCACCCTTTTGAAATACCTGTTTTCACAAAATTTCAGCAGAGCTCTGGGCAAATGAGGATGGGATTGGGTCGTTTCAACATTGTCATTATTCTGAACAATCTTTTCAGCATATAGAAGAATCACAGTTGATGAAAATTACTCTTTTTACACTACTTGCTGGCTGGGCAGATGTTCTTTGAAGGGCAAGTGTAGCACCGTGTGCTGCAGACGTGTCTGGGTAAGCAGGGCAGGTCCCAGTCACGATGGCAGCACAGGCTGGGACCTCGCTCTGCGACAGCCTGGGGTTCAGCTCCACTGGAAAGGGGCGGAGTTTCAAGTGTCTCTTGCTGTCTTTTAGAGAGGATGTACAATGTGTCTTTTTTTTTTTTTTTTAACATCAATTTGATTCTGATTTTAGCAGGAAGCTTTACCTTTAATCTACATTTTACTAACCAAAAATCTCTAGAAACTGGTATTCTGGATTGCCAGATCAAATATTTAAACAGCTACAATTACAGAAGCTAAAGTTACTATGTAGAGATTGCCAAATAGGGTTATAAAGAATTGTTTCTCTATACTGTTCTTGACGGTTGGCAGTAAAACCATTAACTCTCTGCCAAAGTTTGTTGTGAATAATACAAGCTTATTTATTTCTTTAAAGTATTTTCTTCCTTTCTCCCTCTTTTCTTTCCTTCCTTTCCTTGCCAAATTCTATACCTGTTCCCCAACTCTATTTTCTCAAGATTGGGGCCCCAAAACTTTTCTCTTGGTGTATGTCATATACAAAGCTACGAGAGGTGCTCAGTCCCTACGTGGTGGATATGACTGAAAATATTCCTGATTTGCAAAACTACCTTTTAATGGGTGACCGCATATCAAAGCAAACTGAACTCCATCATATCAGAGCTTGGAAAATGGCAAATAGAGAGAATGTTCACTCAGGCTCAGGTATCCCTGCTGGAGTCACTGCACAGCTGAGCACACGAACACATATGCTGTGCTCCTACGCTCCATGCTCCCACGTACCATACGTGCTCCCACATACCATACGTGCTCCCACGTACCATACGTGCTCCCACGCACTGCATTCACACAGGGCCCTGCGTGCTCAGCAGCCTGCCTTACCTTCACAGCGTACTCGGTGTCAGTGGCTTTATGCACACATCGCTTGCACACTGAGTAGGAGCCCACCCCGATGTCCTCCTTGATCTCGTAGCCATCAGTGAAGTGGATGTTGTTCCCGTGTAACTGCTGCAGAGGGACCGAGAGAAGAAGAGCTGTTGGAACCCTCACACGAGGGGATGAGGCAGCTACACGCACACAGAGTGTGGGACGAAGAGAGGTGCCAACTGTGAACCCGAGTGTCTGGAGCCCGGGAGCTCAAGGGTCCCCCCGCCCAAGGCTGCAGAGTTACTTTGTGATGTTCTCGACCTAAATCTCAACTTCTCTGATTCCTTGGGCTATGACTCTTAACTTTTAGACACCAGGCCATTCTGTGTCCACTGGCTGGTATGTTTCTCGCAAAGATCTGAGAGCAGGAGAATCTGAAAGTGAAAAGCAAGTGCTGGCAACTACTGGGTGTGTGGCTCCAATGCCTGTGTGCAGAGCAAGGCTCTGGATGGAAACATCTCATTGGAAATCTGACTCCATAGTGTCCAAGTCACAACCTACTCTGACCTGCATACAGCAGCCGCACCCACCTGCTCTGAAAGCCACCCATGGCAGCCTGCTCTGTCACAACGTCCACTTTCCACACCTGTATTTCTCCAAAGGCCACAGGGAAGGAAATAGGATGGAAATGCAATGCCATCCAACTTACCCGGACTTAATTCTTAAATAAGTTTAATCATAATTAGAATTAAGTTTGTTTAAGTTTAATCCCTTAGAATTCTCTGTATTCTGGTTACATTTATTAGGCGAGAAACTCATTATAAAAATATCACCTTCCAAAGACCTCCCAAAGATTACATTTCATCATGGGAAAATGATACCCACAAATTAAACTGCTATCCTAGGGTCCTGGCTGGACTCCACACAGTGAAGATGCTCCAGTCTCTGGCCATAGACACCATAGTGACATTCTTCCCAGGGCTTTACCTTCCCTCTTTAAGACAAATGCCAAGTAGGGTAAGAGCAAGGGCTCAGTACACCATGGGAGACCACCACAGAGACCACTACAGGGACCACCATGGGAACCACCACAGGGACCACCATGGGAACCACCACAGGGAACACCAGGGAGATCACCATGGGAACCATTACAGGGACTACCATGGGAACCACCATGGGGACCACCATGGGAACCACCACAAGAGGCTACTACAGGGACTACCATGGGAACCACCACAGGGACCACCACAGGGAGACCACCATGGGCACCACCATGGGAGACCACCACAGAGACCACCACAGTGACCACCATGGGAACCACCATGAATACCACCTCAGGGACCACCATGAGAGACCACCACAGGGACCACCACAGAGACAACACAGGGACCACCATGGGAACCACCACAGGGACTACCAGGGAGATCACCACGGGGACCACCATAGGGACCACCAGGGAGATCACCGCAGGGACCACCACAGGGGACCACCCCAGGGAACACCATGGGGACCACCACAGGGACCACCACAGGAGGCTACCATGGGGAGTATCCATGGGGACTGTCACAGGGACCACCATTGGAAACCACCATGGGGGCCCCACCATGTGAGACCATCACAGGAACCACCATGAAGGAGCACCACATGAGATCATCATGGGGACCACCATGGGGGACCACCACGAGGGACCATCATGGCAGACACTCAGAACAATGAGAAGTGCAAGGGAAGAAGAATTGGTGATTAAAGTCCACCCATCCTAAGCACCCAACCCTCGGGTGACTGAGGTCACAGGAACACCAGAGTCACCCATCATCCAAGTGCCTTCTTGCCCCCAACCCACTGCAGGCAAGCACGGTTACCTGTACAATTGGATGAACTGCGACTTTGTGCAGATCTTGCTGTGAGGGCTCCTGGATCAGGCTTGAGGCCACAAAGCTGAATCCTCTAAACAGGTGATGAGCATTTGCACTCGGGGGGACACCAGGAGAGTCTGCAGGTGACAGGGGCAGAGTTCAGATGCCATGAAAGCTGGGTGACCCTGGGGTGAAGCGATAGTGTGTGTGCATGTGGTATGTGTATGCAATTCATGTGTGCATGTGTGTGTATGTGCGCGTGGTGTATGCCTGTGTTGGAGGAAAAGGTAAAACACACATGTAGAAATGCTGAACCAGATGAAACTACTTTCTTTTGGGTCGTGCTAATGATCTGATTTTTAAATGGCAAAAATACCCAGAACAAAAACTTTAGGATTATCATTGATGGCATCTTTTAGTTTGCTAACTTCTGGATTTACTCTATATTCTTGACCACAGTCCTCCACCCCTCCCCACTCCAGACTCAATTAAGAAGGCACCAATGACCTCAGGATGGAATTGTCAGTGAACATGAATCCTATATCCTTAGCATCTGGTCTCTAGGTTCCACAGGTCCCACCCTGTGCCCACAGCTGCATAACTGCGTGTGTGCTGTGCACGTGCTCTGCTCTTCAAGGACATGTGAGCAATGTTGCTCCTGTCCACAGCAAGGCAGAGTACAAAAGGAGGAATTCCCTTCCATTAAGATTTTTCTGATCTCTGTAAGATCTGTGTTCAAAAGCATGACTGCCGTGAGACTGATCCCATTTCAAGTTTATCATTAAGAAAAACAAAAGGATAAATGCCTCGTGGGGAAAAAAAATCTGCATCATACATAACAGATGAGAGGCTAAACTCTCTATTGCCCAAAAGCTCCCAGAGATCAATGAGAAAAGAGCAAAATACTCAAAGGAAGGAATTCTGACAGCTACCATAGGCATGAAAAGATGCCCAATCTCTCTAAGGAGTGAGCATACACATATTTAAATAGGATAACACTTTTGCCTAATGCATTAACAAAAATGAAAGAAATCAATCACATCTGGGTTTGGCTAGGGGGTGGACACTCTTATAATTGTAGGAGGGAGCATAACTGGCATAATCTTTTGGAAAGTCAAGGTAACTTTTAAAGCTAACTTTAAAATTTGCATGTCCTCTGAAGACAACTTTACATCTAGGAATTTATCCTACAGAATTACTTTCAAAAGTGCACAGTAATAACAAATTGTAGAGGACACAAACAAATGGAAAAACAGCACATGCTCATAAATCAGAAAAATTAATATCATTAAAATGAACATATCACCCAAAGCAATCTACAGATTCAATGCAATCTCTATCAAAAAACCAATGTCATTTTTCATAGAATTAGAAAAAACAATACTAAAGTTAACATGGAACCAACAAAGAGCCTGAATAGCCAAAGCACTTTTAAGCAAAAGGAACAAAGCTAGAACTAGAAGCATCACATTACCTGACTTCAATTATATCACAAGGATATAGTAACCAAAATAACATGGTACTGGTATAAAAATAGACACACAGATTAATGGAACAGGATAGAAAACCCAGAAATAAAGCCACAAAGTTGACAAAAACTTTGTGGGGAAAGGACACTCTTTTCAATAAATGATACTGGGAAAATTAGTTTGTCATAAGCAAAAGAATGAAATTGGACCCCTATGTCTCACCATATACAAAAATCAACTAAGAGATTAAAGACTTAAGTGATGAAAGACCTGAAACAATGAAAATACTAGAAGAAATCCTAGGGAAAACTCTTTTGGACATGGGTCTAGGCAAATACTTCAAAAGTCTTTTCAGGGCTGGGCGTGGTGGCTCACACCTGTAGTCCCAGCACTTTGGGAGGCTGAGGTGGGCGGATCACAAGGTCAGGAGTTCAAGATCAGTCTGGCCAACATAGTGAAACCCTGTCTCTACTAAAAATATTTTAAAAAATTAGCCAGGTGTGGTGGTGTGTGCCTGTAATCCCAGCTACTCGGGAGGCTGAGGCAGGAAAATTGTGTGAACCCGGGAGGTGGAGGTTGCAGTGAGCTGAGATCGTGCCACTGCACTCCAGCCTAGGTGACAGAATGAGACTCCAGAGACTCCATCTCAAAAAAAAAAAAAAAAAAAAAGAAAGAAAGAAAAAGAAAAAGTCTTTTAAGACCAGCATAAGAAATCAACAGAATGAACAAACAACCTGCAGAATGGGAGAAAATATTTGCAAAGTATGCAACTGACAGGGGAGTAATATCTAGAATTTACAAGGAACTCAAACAACTCAACAACAACAACAAAATAAATAACTCCATTAAAAATTGACCAGAGGACATCAATAGACATTTTTCAAAAGAAGACATACAGATGGCCAGTGGCCAAACAGCGTATAAAAAATGCTGAAGATCACTAATCATCAGAGAAATACAAATGAAAACCACAATGAGATATCACTTTATATCAGTCAGAATGGTTATTACTAAAAAGTCAAGAAAAATAACAGACGTGGGTGAGGATGTGGAGAAAGGTGGTGGGAATATAAATTAGGACAACCTCCATGAAAAACCGGTATGGAGATGTCTCAAAGAACTAAATGGAACTCCATTCGACGCAGCAATGTCACTGCTGGGCATTGCCCAAAGGAAAAGAAATCATTGTCTCAGAAAGACACCCGCACTTGCAAGCTTACTGTAGCACTACTCACAATGACAAAGTCATGGAATCAACCTACGTGTCCATCAACAGGTGATTGGATAAAGAAAATGTGGTACATATACACAATGGAATACTATTTAGTCATAAACAAGAATGAAGCCATGTCTTTTGCAGCAACGTGGATGGAAATGGAGGCCATTATTTTAAGTGAAACAACTCAAACCCAGAAAGTCAAACATCGCATGTTCTCACTCATAAGTGGGTGCTAAATAATGTCTGCATGTGGACGTCGAGCGTGGAGGGATAGAGAATGGAGACGTGGAAGGGTGGGAGAAGGTGAGGGATGAGAAATTACTTAACGGGTACAATGAACACTCCTCAGGTGATGGTTACACCAAAAGCCCAGCCCTCACCACTATGCACTTTACCCATGAACAAAACTACATCCGTACCTCTGTCATTTACATAAATAAAAAATAAAATGGGCTGGGCATGGTGGCTCACACCTGTAATTGCAGCACTTTGAGAGGCTGAGGTGGGCGGATCACAAGGTCAAGACCAGCCTGACCAACACGGTGAAGCCCTGTCTCTACTAAAAATACAAAAATTAGTCGGGCGTGATGTCAGGTGCCTGTAATCCCAGCTACTCAGGAGGCTGAGGCAGGAGAATTGCTTGAACCTGGGAGGTGGAGGTTGCGGTGAGCCGAGACTAAGCCACGCCACTCCAGCCTGGGCGACAGAGCGAGACTCTGTCTCAAAA